CTCAGTGGACCAAAAGGAAGATTGGGAAGGGCTTGTCAGGCGATCGCTGCAGGGAGTTGAAAGTCAACAGCACGGCACGCTATTAAAAACACGGCCTTTCCGGCCCTCGATAGACTTCCACTACACGTGGAGGGTGAGTAAAACATCCTTAAACAACTTCCAACACCAACAACTTGAGGATATCAATCTTAAAGGAGTAGTTCACTTTTAAATAAACTTTTGCTGATAATTTACCTCACCCCCATGTTATCCAAGATGTACACGTCTTTCTTTCCTCAGTCGAAAAGAAATCATTTTTTTTGATGATTTTCTCCATATAATGGACTTCACTGGGCACCAAACAGTTCAAGGTCCAAATGAGAGTTTCAGTGCAAACGGTTCAAAGGGCTTTAAACGACACCAGGCGATAAATAAGGGTCTTATGTAGCGAAACGATCGGCCATTTAAAAAAATAAATAAAAAACCTTAAGTTTTATAAGCTTAAATGCTCGCCTTGCTCTGTTCTGTGATGCGCGTTCGTGACTCTCCTGTTCAAACTGGTTCATCAAAATGAACAAATCTCTTTTTGAGTCATGACTCGAAGGGCCCTGGATAAGACCCTTATTCATCGTCTGGTGTCGTTTAAAGCCCTTTGAAGCTGCACTGAAACTCTCAATTTGGACTTTGAACCGTTTGATTCCCATTGAAGTCCATTATATGGAGAAAATCCTGGAATGTTTTCATCAAAAACCTTCATTTCTTTTCGACTGAAGAAAGAAAGACGTGGACATCTTGGATGACATGGGGGTGAGGAAATTATCAGCTAGAGTTTTTTTTAAAAGTGAACTACTCCTTTAAAGATGACGATGAAAACGTGTTTGACAATTAAAAGTAAATTACACTAAACATTTGAATAAAAAAATATTAATATAGCTTTTTTTTAAGCAACGCAAAATTGCGCTAGCTAGCGCTGGCAATTTCGATGACGTCACTGGCAAGGTAGGACCCGCCGAGCTCAATAGACAACAGCTGTGGTCCTGTATACACAGACGAAAATGAGCACTTTTAACGGCATGGATTACGCATTTGAGCCCATGAGGGACAGGCTGGTAGTGTCTGACGACCACCACATGGAGGACGATCAGTTTCAGGCTTCACTTGCAGTACAGGATCGTTTGGGGGGAAGTCACTGTGGGCGCGAGCGCTGTGGAGAATGAGCCGATCTGTTGCAGAGGTCAACTTGGAACATTTATTGATCGGCAAAAAAAGGAATCACCGTCGTGCACCATTCATTTCGGATGCTGTTCGGTGAGAGAAACATGTTGGAGGAGGCTATGCTGTCTCTAATGGATGTCCGAACTGAGACGCGAGCGCCCCATCAGTAACAGGGTATTTTACGAATAGGTGACTAGGCTGGGCTAACTTATTACACTTTTCTCAGACTGTTTAGATTAACAGCGTACTGGCAGTTCACGCTATGGGCGAGGGTGCATTTAGGAAGGAGAATCCCATCCTTTACAGTGAACTATACATCAGGGATCTTTTCCCCTCAGCTGAATATCAAGGATTCGAGTAACGTTAACGTGATGCGTTGAACTTGTAACTTGTGTAAATAAACATTTCATGCAGACATTGTCAGATGTTTCATGTACTCACCCAGATAGCAAACTGACATTGAATCAACGTGGAAATATGACATCGAAACAACGTTGATCTGACATTGTTTTGCTCATCGAATTAACGTTGAACCAACGTCAGACGCGTCATTCTTTCAAAACTAACGGAAAATCAACTTGAAATCAACGCGTTGTTTCAACGTTATGAAAGCAAACCAATTTTCGATTTTCATTTAGCTTTGAAGAATGCCGCGTCTGACGTTGGTTCAACGTTAATTCGATGAGCAAAATCAACGTTGTTTCAATGTCATGAGAGACGTTGTTTCCACGTTGATTCAATGTCAGTTTGCTATCTGGGCATTGACGAAAGTACACATCTCTAAATAGTGTGTCGCTAAAAAATCTGTTTCCTTAGCCATGTCAGCTAGCCTCAGACTGTTTACAAGCTACGGCTTTTCTGCTGGTGCGGGTAGGCAGCGGAGTGGCTTACCATGCCAGTGACGTAGTCGAATGTTGAAATCCAACATGGCGTCGCCCGTGTCACAAAAACAACACTTTCAATGTACCATTTTATCCCTTTTAACAAATATTGCCATTTTAAAAATTGTACCAATGAGAATAAATAAAATACATCTGTTATATCACCTTTTCTCAAATTTCAGTTCAGTTCATCTTTAAAGAACCTGAAACAATGGTTAGCTAACACTTATCTTGAGTGCTCTGGAATTTGTCAAGCCAAAAGTGCTAATAAGACTGCATTTACTCTTTGAAATTTACAGTAATTACTAGAGCCCGATTGATAAAGGATTTTAAAGACCGATACAAATATTTTTGGGTTTTAAAATCCGATATTCCGATATATCGGCCGATATTTTATTTATTTATTTAATTTAAACTGGACATGATAGTCACAAATTTTGTCATGCTTATTTGAGTTTAGAGAACTGATGGGGATGTTCTTTTACTTGTTATTCAAGCAATGTATGTATCGTGACCAACTCAACGAGTGTTGCCAACAGGAACGTTGTAGAGTGCCCTCTGGTGGACAAACTATACAACTCCAACACTCATGACATGGTTCAAGTGTGTTTAATTCGTTTTTATTTTATGCTTGAAATATTAATTTATCGGGCATTATAACTGCCGATACCGATAGTTTGGAAAATGCCTAATATCAGCCGATAATATCGGTCTGCCGATAATATCGGTCGATATATCGATATTAAATGCGTTATTAACGGCGTTATCGCAAACCCATTTTAACGGCGTCAATTTTTTTAATCGCGCGATTAACAATTTTTTGTGGCCAAGCAAACTTTGTCGTTTTTTTCACATGCTTTTGCAACAGGACACGGCGCTGCTCTCTGTAACCCATTCATTTCACTGGCAGCACGAGGACGTTTAGTTGCTTCATCAACCAAAGCACAAGCGGATCTAGCTAGACCGTAAACAAAACAGGCATGCCGCACACACTCGTCTAGGCTTGTGAGCCGCCTAAATAGTTGTCTAATGTTACGTTTTGAGTGGATGACGAGCGCAAAACGCCGAAATGGATGCCAATAAGATTCTGAACGGAAAGTTTACTTTTAAAAGTAGCCAAATGGTCCCATTGACAAGACCAAAGTGATCTGTGTCGTTGTGAACTGAGCTATCATCATCGCAGCACGTCCAGTCAAATACCGATTGATGATTGCCAAGCACACACCGATCCACTTTTCCATGTTGATGAGCATTAAAATGAGAAAAAATAATAATAATGGGACAAAAAAAAAGAAATCAAGAGACATTTACAATAGATAAAAATGTGCGATTAATCATGAGTTAACTATGACATTAATGCGATTAATCGCGATTAAATATTTTAATCGTTTGACAGCACTAGTAATTACCAATGAGATGGACTGAAAATCCACTTCCTAAAAAACACACCAAAATGTGACGCATTCAAATAAGGTGAAAGGCATTGTAGTTTCTCCTTCTTTGGAACAGCAGCCACCATCACGAAAGAGAAATCAGCCTGACGTTGGTGAGAGTGACAGCAGAAGCACCAAGGCTTGTCACGGACACTGACTCTCGCCATGACGGCCCCCGGGGCCAGCGACGGATGGACAGCTCCTCGCCTCGGCCTTTACTCCCACTATCACACTTCTCCGTGCCGGGTCAGGGTCAGTGACGCAAAGAATGCCCAGAGGCATTAGAGCTGATGCCGACACTTTGAGAGTTACGCCACTCCTCGTCTATGATGACGGAACGGTAACACTGTAAACATGTTAACAACGTCACAGAGCGATTTCTGTGCGGCGACAGAACCGTCATTGTAATGATTTTTTAAGCAGCATCATTTATTTAATAATGCGACATGTTTGACACCTCTGCTATGGTTCATTGGAAAGCAGTGACCTCAGCTGTTTGGTCATAGAGCTGAATGAACATATTCAAGCAGCCACTTTAACCTCCTGAATGAACAATGCATTTATCAATGCATATTATCCTTTACCTTTTACCTTTTTCACTTATTTACCTTATTCACTTACTCCTACAATAACGCAAAAATCGTCATTTTAAGTCATTGTAGGAGGAAGTGTAAGGGGGGGATTTCTGTAAAGAGTTTCTGGTCCCATTGACTTCCATAGTAGGAAAAAAAATATACTATGGGAGTCAATGAGACCAGAAACTGTCTGGTTACTGATATTCTTCTAAATATCAGAAAATCATCTGAATGGATTAGAAAACGGTAAAACCCAACTGTTTAACTCTGGGGAAGTTGTAAAAGGAGCCTATTTCCAAATAAAGTGGAGTATCCCTTTAAAGTAACAGTAGGACCTAAAGACAGGAGACTTGAGAAGAGAAGTGCTATGCCATTTGGTCGGGAGTTATTCAATAAATCTGTTTGAATTATACTCTACCTTGTAACCCGCTTTATTATTATTTTTCTCATGAAACCTAAAATAAGCTTTTCATTTTCGTCATACCTCTTCCCTCTCTGAACTGCTCAGTCTGGTCTTGCCGATATTGCCCTATGCTGTATTTATTTTGGATTATATTTATTTGTATGATTACCTAACTATTGCAAAAGTAAGTCTGGGATCTTTAAAGGAGGCAAAAATGACAATAGAATTGCAAAGTCAGAGTAACCGGTTTGTTTGTCACGTCTCCATAATCCTCAGGGCAAAATATAAGTATTGCTAAGAAATAAGGTCGGAAAATTGTAAAACTACTGAAGATTGAGAATAATTACAAAATATAAAACAGAAATTTCATAAATATTGACATCAACATCAACTAAATCACCCACTCATTCTCATATCAGTAGACAGACCTGGCTTAGCTTTCTCTCCTTCTGTCATGAGAAACGATTTCAGCAGAACTTCAGCTGTTTGAGACATGGCTCAAGGGAACTCCTACCTGTTGTGGTCCGTCTCCGTTGACGATGTTGGGCGGGTGTGGAGGGGGTGGCGGGGAGGTGAGCATCGGGATGTCTGGGCTGAGCAACTGGCCGGACTCCAGCGGGGAGGTGTGTTCAGCCATGACTCCCTCATCCACACTACAGGAGAGGCACTGCTTGCTCCTGAAACCACAAAGGATTCATGTAGATTTCAAAGATTACTATTATTTTTCACAAACTTGGAAATTTACCTATGAGATTTTAGCTAGATTTTTACAACGCAAAACGTCCTATGTAAAGCTATACAACTACAGAACACCTTTTGGCTTGTTTGATTAGTGACAGATTTTGCTAGATTTATTTTAAAACCCATAACCACTAAACTACTTTTGCTATATGGCACTACAAATCGTGCAACTTAAAGGGGTGATGAACTGAGAAATCAAATTTTCCTTGAGCTTTTGACATCTAAGAGGTCATCATATTATAAGAATATGCTGTAAGTTTCAGATCTGAAAACGTCCTTGTTAGTCCAATAAAAGCTTTTATTGACACCAGCCTCTGAAAACGCAACATTTTTAAAAGTGGGAAACTATGACGTCAAAGAGGATAAAACACCACCCCCGCAGGAGATCAACGCCTTCTTCAAGGCCGGTTTAGCCCCGCCCACCGATTCGCGCATTCACGCATAGCTAAATAACATAGGCCTACCTCGTGATGACAAACCGGATCGAGCTACAGAGCAATACAGAATATTGTGCAGCGCCTGGTTGTGGAAGAAGTCAGTGGTTGCATAAGCTTCCTCTGGATTCCAATAGGACTGAATGGATAAACTTTATTTTTGATGACGTTCCAGCTGATGAGGTAAAAGATCGTCCGTCTGTTCGCTTCATTTCACTGAGGATTGTTTTGTAAACAAGACTGGATTTGCAGATCGATTAAGAGTAAAGAACGGTGCTGTGCCGTCTATATTGGATCTGACAGGAATTGTGCAACACACGAACTCTGGGTCGAACATGTATGGGTGAATCACTCCGGTTGCCATTTTTACATCATTGGACGTTTCCAAAACAATTTCCCCCAAGTGCATCGACGGGTGAGTTGAAACTCATTATAATATGCAAAACTGTTATCCACTCACAGCAGTGGGCGTTTACTTCCAAGTCTTCAGTGCGAGACGCCCATTAAAACCGAGCGTTTTTAAGCTAGGCTCAAAACTAGGGTTCAAAATAGCCAATTACTTATTCATTTTGATGTTTTTGAATGTAAAAACCAAGCAAACGTCATAAGTTGACCTCAGACAACAATATAATACAATTTAAAAAGCCAGTTCATGACCCCTTTAAAGCCCTTGCACACCGAGTCTGAAATTTTCGTATGCGTATTTGTGATTCGGTGGCTCTGAATGGTCAAAACACTATTCAAATTGCATGCAACGGACGCAAAAAACAGAAAAACGAACCTGATGCGATTTTTTTTATGATGGAGGAAAGCTTCGGCTGCAGTGTCCAAGCATGATTGACATAACGCGAGGTCGTATTTATTTTTTAACGTGCGAAAATATCGAACTTAGGATAGGTCTGATGTTACTTTAAACGCTCAAACATACAACTTTAGAAGTTGATCGATTGATCGTTTTTTCCGTTTAATCGGCACCGACAACCGTAGGCTGGAACAATCGTTATGGTCAAAAACGCATAGCGATAGCGTTTCCGTCTATTGCTGAAGCGGCTGAGAAGGGTCAGCTGACATTATACAGCACAAGAGCGGCCTCTAGACGCAAAATAAAAACTTTTAAACTGACGCCTCCTGGAGTTTGTTTTGGCACCCGAGACACTTCAGATGTGGATTTAAAACAGCCAATGAAATGTTGTTATACATCACACTACCGTATGCGTTTTCATTTCAATATAAAGTGATTCATTTGTTGACTATATGCATTAGTGGAGAACAGAAGTATGTTTGCCGTTGAGGCTGAGATGACGCTAACATTAGTAGAACCTCAAGCAGTGAAAAAAATACACGCAAGTCCGACCAAAATGTTTAACGTCACGATTGTTACCATCTTTTTGGATTAGTTTATATACAAGACTTAAAACAACACCATTTTAGAAGTGTTATATAAAGTTGGTGAGCCGTTTAAATGGCGTTTTCTAAGCATGATTATGGCATTAGCATTTAAGAATAATTTCTTCCACTGCTCATGAGGTCATTGTCAGCCTCACACCCACAGTGGCATGGACATCCTTTAGGCTTGACTTGTAAATTCACTGTTCAGCTTAAACACTTAATAACTTTACGGGGGAAGTACAATATAAAAAAAGACTATTAAAGTATTTCCATTGACGAATTTCTGCCCTTGTACTTAAGCAGTTCAGAAAACAGTACAGTCTTGTCAGGGTCAGTCGTGGTTTCAAGCGTAGAGAGTGGGATGTTACTTGTTTTTTGTTTTTTTTTAGAACTGTGAGTAGGAGAAAATATAATCTATTTTAAGATCCATTCATTGTATCCAGGGACTGTTTGACCCGTCTGGGTGCAGTGCAGGAGAGGAATGAAAATGCGCCAATTCGTTCCCTGCCACGTCTGCACACACGCACACTCCAAAACGAATTCAAATTGACTAATCAACTCATAGTATGGAGTACGCGCACTCTCTCTTTCATGTATCAGACCCGCAATGAGTCACAAGCAGAAGGTAATAAGGAGGAAATGACATGTGTCCTTGAAGCTCATTAGTATCTAGCGCATGCGTTCTCACCGGCCGCAGCGATCAGCCTAATCTGTTAGCTAGTCCCCTACTTAAACCCGCACACAGGGGTGATGCTCAATAAGACGAATCCTGCCAAGACTTAACAAAGCGCTTTTCAGCAGACACAGGCTTTAGGAAGATGGGCAAGCACCTGCGCCTGTCGGGTCAGGTATTAACAGCATTACAGGTTTAATTTAGTTGATGATTGGTACTTTCCTCTCAAGTCAAAACTTAAGGTATTAGGATTGTCATCCAACACCATTTTTTTTGGATGTTAAAACACCAAAAGAGGTTTGCCATTATCAATCAGACTTCCAGTTCATGACTGGCAGATGATGAAACGGATAGAAATTCCCATTGACTTCAGTTGAAGGAGGGACTAGGGTCAGTTCCAGGGTGACGAATATTATAGAAATTTGGGGGTGAGCTCTTTTGACTTGGGTCAGTAAGCAAAACCCACGACACTATCATAATTATGTGCTAACAACTTGTGTTGGAAATGACATATTATCATATTATAATATTATATATGTCACCTTTATCATTTTAGTATTATTATTCTTCAGTTTTATTAGTACAAAGTAGTATGTTTGCAACTAAAAAAACTCTTTGTTTGTATATTTATTTGTTTTTCTATTGCTTATAAATGTAATTTTACAATTGATTTAAAAATAGCAACATTTAATTATTTATATATTTGTTAATTATTAATTTAGCAACTTCTTTATTTTTTTAAATATCTTTGAATATAATATGTATATGTAGTGTTATATATATATATATATATATATATATATATATATATTTAAAAAAAAAAATATATATATATATATATATAAGTTTGTGTTTACATAATATATGTGGGTGCACTGTGTATAATTATTTATATATATATATATATATATATATATATATACACACACATATTTAAGAAATATTTTCATGTATATGTGTACAGATTTATATATAATTTATATTATATATAAATATTGTATAAAATTCTTAAATACACATGGATGTGTTTGTATATATACATACAAATATATATATAAATATATATATACATATATATATAAATATATATATATACACACACACACATACATACACACACACACATATATATATTCATATATTTATACACAAAATAATTATACACAGTGCAGAGTGCACCCACATTATGTAAACACAAACTTATTTTGGATGTGATTAATCGTGATTAATCATTTGAAAGCCCTAGAAAAAAAATATATATATATATATATTTGTTTATTTCGAGCAATATGTAGTTACACATGACAAGGCAATACGAAGCATTTTGGTTAGTCTGTACAGGCCTTTAAATTCATCATATTTACATCAACTTTAACAAAAACCTAAATCTAATGCTCGAAACGGAGTGGATAGAAGTCAAACTTATTTGAACCCACCCCGGGTGTGTGTATATATATATGTGTATATATATATGTGTGTATATATACAAGTATGTGTTCTGTGTGTAGAATTTAAAATTTAAAGGAATTTACTTTAACAGTAGGGCAGGTATTATCAAATTATCATCTTGAATCTGCGATTTCTACAACAACACTAGAACATATTTGAAGCCCCACTGATTTATGAGTCAGGTAATTCCAGTGCACAACTGTTGAGTAACAAAGAAAACGAGAAACATACTGGCTCTTTTCAGTTGTAAACCTCAACAACGGTAGGACAACGGTAGTCAGCACTAACTCTCTCTCTCTCCATCAACCACAACAGTTGAGTGTTTTCCGCGGTCTAATTCCTCTTCTCAGCAAGAGAGCGGATGACGCCAACAGTGGAGCGCGGCCTAAGGGCGCAAATCTGTTCTAGGAGGGGCAAGAGGTCAGACACTGGAGGTGATGGCTTCCTATTAGGAGGTGTAATGAGAAGATTCGAGGAGAAAGGGGGGGGGGGACCGGAACTGCAATTGTTAAAAGTGATTACATGGTGAGCACCTCCAACCTCAAAGCACAAAAAAGAGCTCTCACTGTGTGTTGGTCGTACCTGAAAATGACAAACCGATGGCGTTTCGTCAGCAGGAAGTGAGGGGGAGGACAGAATGACTTCATAGGTTAGACCACAACACTCTTTCATTCGATTCTGGTCACCATTACATACGCAAACCAATTGTCGCGCAGAGTACGGTTTGTCATACATGCCTAAAGGGGAAACAGCTGGAAATTTCTAGGGGAAATTAACAACGGCAAACAAGGTTTTTATACTTTCTGCAGAAAATGTGAACGATGCTTTTAACGATGATGTTATGAACTGACTATGTGCTAAAATATATAGGCCTGAATGTGGGATGCATGTATATTAATTGCATTTAAAATTGCAATCTATTTGGATTACACGGTTTTAACAGAAACTAATAAACTTAATGTGATGCATATTTGTCAGTGATCCATAAATG